TGTGTGTGTGTGTGTGTGTGTGTGTGTGTGTGTGTGTCTGTGTGTGTCTCAGCAGCTGTTAGCGACACACAAACTCCTTCCTCCCTCCCATCAGTTCTGTCTGCTGACATGACATGTTTCCTGCTCTCTGGTTGGTCACTTTAAAGCAGACTTTGCTCTCGGTTTGGCTCCGCCCCCTCAGCGTTCTTATTGGTTGATGAGGAGCTTCCTGTCAGCTGCTGTCAGATCTGCTGACTGAGTATCAGGACCTCTTATGGGCGTCCAGCCGGCTGCCTGTTGGATCTAAGAATAGACAGAGCATCAGACTCCTTTCCTTGTCTCCTTCTCTAGTCTTCTACAATGTCTCCTTTCCTTATCTCCTTCACTAGTCTCCTTAAAATGTCTCCTTTCCTTGTCTTCTTACAGTGCCTCCTTTCCTTATCTCCTTCACTAGTCTCCTTAAAATGTTTCTCTTCCTTGTCTGCAAGGCTTGTTAAATGTCTCCTTTCCTTGTCTCCTTCCAGTGCCTCCTTTCCTTATCTCCTTCACTAGTCTCCTTAAAATGTATCCTTTCCTTATTTCCTTCTCTAGTATCTTTACGGTGCCTCCTTACCTTGTCTCCTTACCTTATTCTCCTCTGCTCGTCTCCTTACAATGCCTTGTCCTTTCCTCGTCTCCTTGTCTCCTCTCTGTCGTCTTGATCTAAATGACTTCTAAAAACTCACCTTCTCCACTCTAAGCTGGTGTGTGTTTAGGCTCCGCCCCCTCTGGTTATTCCTGACAGGAAACAGGAAGTTGTCAGACCTTCAGATGTTGTACTTGAAGTTATCACTTTAAATAAACTCTCTTGTCCTCAGACACATGAAGATCCACGACAAAGACCCGGCGAGTGGTCTGATCCCCATCAGCAGCCCCACCCCCCCTACCAAACGCCGCCGCCCGTCCATCAAACGGCGGCAGGGTCTGGAGGAGGACAGTGCAGACGAGCCTCCCAGTAAAAAGGTACGCCTCATTTCTTACGTCACGGTGTGTTGGTGTTCAACAGGAAGTCGTAACGATCTGGTTCTGTGTTCAGGTGATAGAGGATGTGGCGGCTGAGGAGGTGACGGCGGCGGTGGTTCAGGGCGCCGAGGAAGAGCTGCTGCCGTGTCCCATCTGCTTCAAGACCTGCAAATCCAGACTGGATCTGGACGATCACATGGACACCCATCCAGACACTGTCCTCAGGTACCGGAACCTGTTTCCTCCTCTGATTTCCACTTCCTGTTTTATCCTACCCACAAGCCCCTGCAGCCATTTTCAATAACTTTAGTCAGCTTTACTCTGAAAGGTTTCAAGATTTACTTCCTGCTTTACTGTTAAAATAAATGCCTGTAGAATCTGATGGGGAGGTTGGATGATGGATGGATGGATGGATGAATGATGGTTGGATGAAGGATGGATGGGTGATGGTTAGATGAAGGATGAAAGTATGACAGTTGGATGAAGGATGGATGGATGGTAGTTGGATGAAGAATGGATGGATAATGGTTGGTTGAAGGATGGATGGGTGAGGGTTGGATGAAGGATGGAAGGATGATAGTTGGATGGATGGATGGATGGTGGTTGGATGAAGGATGGATAGATTGAATGGATGACGGTTGGATGAAGGATGGATGGATGCTAAGATGAAGGATAGATGCATGGTGGTTGGATGAAGGATGGAAGGATGATGGTTGGATAAATGATGGATAGATTGATGATGGATGGATGAATGGGTGATGTTTAGATGAAGGATGGAAGGATGACGGTTGGATGAAGGATTGATGGATGGTCGTTGGATGAAAGATGGATAGATGGATGATGGTTGGATGAAGGATGGATGGGTGATGTTAGATGAAGGATGGAAGTATGACAGTTGGATGAAGGATGGATGGATGGTGGTTGGATGAAGAATGGATGGATAATGGTTGGATGAAGGATGGAAGGATGATAGTTGGATGGATGGATGGATGTATTGATGATGGTTGGATGAAGGATGGATAGGTGATGGTTAGATGAAGAATGGAAATGGAAGTATGACAGTTGGATGAAGAATGGATGGATAATGGTTGGATGAAGGATGGATGGATGGATGGATGGATGAAGGATGGATGGATGATAGTTGGATGGATGGATTGATTTGATTTGATGTATTTATTTAACAGGAAAAGATTATTAAAAATCAATCCTGACTCAGCATAATTGCTGTTTTACAGCAGGTTCCTGTTCTGCAGCACATAAAACACTCAGAATTACAGCATCACAATCACATCATTATACAC